CATGGATTTGAATCTTTTTACCACTGAACTCTTACAATTACTGAACATTCATCACCTGCCTACCTTCTTAGCTACCTAGATACTGTATGGAGACCAGAGATATGGGGCAGACTGGTGCAGTCGGGAATACCAAGTATCACTGCTGCTAATAATGAATTCCTATATCCTGGAAAAGCAGGAATCTTCTTTTTTTTCTTGCTTTGGTGTCTATGTGTGCATGTTTTTCCAGATGTGTAAAGTAAGTTGATCTATATTTATTTTCATCCTCAAACTTATATATATTATATTTTATATTATATAAAAAGAAAATCCCTGGGTCAAAATTTGAGTTTGGGTCCCAGTTTCCACTAACAAAATGGGTTAACTTAAGTAACAATGGCTTATTTTGATCCAATATTAGTGTGATTTTTTTTTTATTTGACTTTTGGGTTATTTATATTTATTTATATTGAATTAAAATTTGACCCAACAATCTCAAGTTTTACCATAAAACAAATGCACTGCTAGCTGTACAAAATGATATAAAATATAGTATTCAAAACTGCAATGGATATACATATTATTAAGAAAAATAAATAAATAATTATGATTAAGATTATAAGGGTTCACCATATTTTACTTACAGTAATATAAAACATGACACTAGCAGTGAGTTTGTGCCATGTTGACCCAAATTAAGTGAAAATTGACTTTGACTTGGATTTTATGTGTACATGTTCTTCATGTACAGTCAGTAGTAACACCATTAATGTGTTTTTTTTTATTCATTGCTTTATTTAATTTCATGTGGAAAAAATAAGGATCCTCTAAACTGTAAATCCTATAAAATAACTAGAAATGATCTTTGGTAGCATGCACACTCACTGTAACTACAGTGACTTATAACCAAATGCCACTGTATATCTCTGCAGCTTTTCCCTCATGAATAAAAGGCCCTCTCTGTGAGGTGAGAGGATTTGCCCCCCATGGCACTCCCAGTTGTGCCCTGCAGTCCCTTGTGTTACTCACGCTCACTTGTAGAAGTCCCTTAACGCTAACCCAGAAAGCATAAATATATTATAATCTCATCACCTGTCCATTTATACAGGTGTCACCCTGCCTCGCAACTTGATTTCCAGAAGGGCAGCAGTTTTTCCTGTGGCGGCGATTGAAGTCACAGCATTATTATCAGGCAAAATGTATTCATGATAGCAGAGGTCCGAGTGCCCTGTGGGCTTTGTAATATAATACTAGACCTCTTTATCAAATTTAACAGTTTATTGGAAACAGCTTGTACACATGATTTAGGCACAGGACGGTACGGCAAGGCCCTGGGTATCCTCCTAACACACCTCCCATACACAACCAAATGCACATATACACACACGCATTATGAAAACTCACAAACACATGCCGTACACACAGTGACATTCAAACACACACGCATTTAATCACACATCTCCCTCCTCCTCCTCCTCCTCCTCCTCTCTGCAGCACCTCAGCTCTCCTCTTCTCCCCATCATATCTAATGCAAAGCTCTCATTGGATGAGGCAGCGGTTTTTCTGTGGAGGTTTTGTGTGCGCTTTGTTTGTTTTCTCTGAAGAGCAGTGCGATAACAAAAGCGTGACGTGACAAATGGACTTTGTGCCCTGCAGCCAGATTTAAGTGATAGGTTACTGAATGGGAGCTACCATCCTATCTCATTTATATATACACACATACACACAAATGGGTACACATGTGGATGAACACACTGACACTTGTATATGCAACCAGGCCTGTGTGCAGACTTTAAAAAAAAAAAAGAGTAACTTTTATTTATTATTTCCTAGTATTGGATTTTCCTCACCATGCATTTAAAACTGTCGACCTTTAATCTCCCTCTGTAAGGAATTACTTGCATCACACCATTAAAATGCAATAATTTTATATATATGTGGGACCAAAATACTATCTGGCATTTAATATATATTTCTTATTACCAAATAAATAACAATATTGTGTCATTAAAATGGGTTTAATGTCCTGGAATCAGCTTCATCTTAAAGTTCATAAGATACAATAAATCCACTTTCTATAGGTTATTTTATAGATTTGAGCCACAGTTAAAATATCTTTTTTTGTTTTTGTTTTTTTTAAATCAAACTTGATCACTTATTCTCTGTTTAAAGGGTCCTGGAACTAAATACGACACATCTACAGGGTCACAACATCCTCATAATAACAAGTCTTCCTCTACTCTTTAAGATCTCCTATGGGGACAGTAAATAGAAACCATCAGTTGGCCGACTAAGGATTTAAAGGGACGGTCAGAGGTCGTACGCGGGCTATTAATGATCCCTTTTTAACAAAAAGCACGCACAGGATCCGTCCAATCAGAGGGAGTGGAGTAGTCACCCAGGGCCTCAAGAAGAAGATCTGTCTGGTTAAGGTTAGACTGAGGAAGAGCAGAGGCTGAGCGATCTGCTCTGATGTCTGTGTATGCATATGTGTGTGTGGAAGAGTGTGTGTGTATGTGTGCAAACAAGGAACAGGTCAGTCAACTGCCTATCAAAGTGTGTGATGCATGTGAATGTGTATAAAAATTGTGATTTGATGTTCACTTGTTAGTTCTGTATATGTATTACACCTTCATTATATATAATGCCTTTTTTACTTTGTGTTGCTTACAATGTGTTATGTCTTGCTGTAAAAACATGGCAACATGCTGGTTTTTATCTGCCAATGCCTTTTATCTGAGTAAAAACGAATATAGTACTGTGTGTTGTTGTTTCAACAATACTTTTTTATGTTTAAAAGCTATAAAAGAAGACCAATGATGAAATAATGAAGAAATACAGAATCTGAAAACAAGGTATTTTGGGCTGTGAGAACATTTGTTTACTTCATCTTTCAAATTTGGAAGAGCTCTTCTAAAAAAAAAACTGTTTGAGTTTTTTTTTTTTTTTTTAAGTGAAAATCACTGGAGCTCCAGATTTACCCAACACTATCGCCTCTGGATAAAATAGTTAACATTCTACCCTGCTCATATTTGTTGGCAAAAATTGCCACATTCATAACACTGGCTTAAAATGTTGCCGGCGTGCCACGGCTTAAAGGTTTTTTAGCGTGTTTAGCAAGTACGGAGCTTTAAGTATAAACAGTCATTAATCCTTTCAGCCATTTCTGCCCTCAACAGGAGCTCGCTGTATGACGGAGGTTATCTGCGCAACAAGGAAAAAGCTTCAAGCATGACTGACCCAAGACCTCTGTCTGTCAAATGTAATCTTTGTCTGAACCATTAGCCTGTGTTCTTTCGGTTTTTAACATGTCTTCCTCTACCATGTCTGCACCTATTCTCTCTCAATATATTGTATTCTATTCCTGTTGCCTCTGACTAAGGCTTCCATCAGTCCTGTGGAAGTTAATTATGGGAGCCAAGCTGTTGAGGGGTTGAGGAGAAGCTTTTTTTGCCTAAATACTGGATATACACCAAGTCTGGCAACGCCACCGAGCATTGTCTGCCGTGATAAAATATGGACGGAAGTGCTGCTAGGCAAATCGTTTATCAGCCAGGTTTAGCATGCACATGTTAAAATGAAAGACTGTGCTATCTGCATAGGTTGTGTGAGCTTAGTTTAGTGTAGCCAACACCGTTTGTTGTGTATAAATGGCATGCTGGCTGTCGCCCCTGTGGGACGTGATCAATCACACATTGCCTGCTTTGCTCTCTAACAGCTATAGGCAAATCTATTCAGAATATTCAAACTAACATTTCAGTCCTACCTTAACTCCATGCTTTGTTGCTTTGTACTTTTTGTGCCTTTGTTTGGCGTCTATGTAGAATTTTTTTTTTTTTCTTTCTTGTTACATATACCAAATTTGAAAAACAATCAACTTAACTTATCTCTAAACTCTACTGGCACACACTGCAAGACCATTTAGTACCATAGCACTAATGGTCTATTATGATAATTAAATCGAACATATTTCTTCAACCCTGGACAAGGCATTATGTGGAGCATGAGCTGGCATGTTTGCTCTGTCACAAAGCGGCCTCTAAAATAACTCTGCATGCTCAGTTTAGTCTCCCATTCCCAATTTGCCTTAATGAGCCAGTTCAAGCTGTCAGCGGCAGAGAGAAAGGAGCTCTGATGACTGTCAATCTGTGGTGAGTAGAGGGGAAGACGGTGAATGAATGGATAGATAGAAGGAGGGGAGGAACAGAGAGAGGTTTAAGGAGGTGGAGAAAGGTCAGGCACAGATTACACTGGCAGTCACCAGAGCTTCAGGCAGAAAAGGAGAGAAGGGATAAGAATGAGAAGAAGTCTTGTTGTCGGCTGGTGTTCACAAGAAAATCTACCTACAAACTTTGT